GAGCGTCGAGACTGCGGAGGTCGAAAATCGAGAGTCGAGACCGAGGAGGTCGAAAACCGAGCGTCGAGACCGCGGAGGTCAAAAACCGAGAGTCGAGACTGCTGAGGTCGAAAACCGAGAGTCGAGACAGCGGAGGTCGAAGACCGAGCGTCGAGACCGCGGAGGTCGAAGACCGAGAGTCGAGACCGCGGAGGTCGAAAACCGAGCGTCGAGACCGCTGAGGTCGAAAACCGAGCGTCGAGACTGCGGAGGTCGAAAATAGAGCGTCGAGACCAATTTGGCCATAAAATAAACGGGCGGATGTCTTTTGAGCTTAGATGAGTTTCATGTTAATTTTATGACACATGTGTAGATCTTTTTGCTGAGATAGTATAATGTGTTTAGCCTGTTGTAGATGATGTATACTTATAGCTTTGAACTCGGTTTATTTGGCCTTAGCATGCGATTTGTTAATTGGAAAAAAAGAAAAGAGACTAGAGGCATGTATGTGCGATTGTTTTGATCATGAGATTGCTTAAGTTGCTGCCGCTAAATGTTATGTTTTCTATACTTAAAGTATGTGCAAAAAAGAAATGTGTGGGATTTTAGTTGGATTCGATTGTAGTTGTTGTGTTAAGGGGTGTATGGAATATCTGAGACTAAGAATTCAGAGTAGAAGTGAAAGAACTATGAGAGAGACCCAATCTTTATCCTTTAAAATTCTTTCACAAGCTGATGTGGAGAAATCATTATTTGTTACTAGTTAGGTGAATTTTGTGGGAGTGTTTACACACACTAAATGACTAAATTTTAGCTTTTAGGTGTAAAAATGAATTTGTTTTTGAGATTTATTGATATGTTTTGTGGTGAGAAGGTGCTATCTTGTAGTTGAGCTTATTATGTTTACAAGCTAGTTTTATAAGCATGCTTAGACGGGCTAAAGAATTAAGGATTTGTTGTTTGCTCTCTTTTTGTTTTGTGAATTTGTTTGTTTGTATTTTTTTTTTTTTTAATTTGCTCTCATTTTGTATGTGAATTTTTGTTTGTGAATTTGTTTGTGAATTTTATCGAACACCTTGTGAATTTGTTTGTTTTTTGTGGTTAATAATTTGCTCTCTTATTTGAACTTATACGCTTTCTTATATCGATTGACTTGTTTTATTTTTTTAAATATAAAAAATGGCATCTTCGTCGTCCTCACAGGCTCGCCGGTACAATGTACAATCCAGTCCGATTGACAGCTCGCTTCTATATCTTCAGAGCCGCCACCGGGCCAAGGCGATATATGACGATGAACAAGGCTATCGTAACGGCAGTATTACAAACTGCCGTAATGACAGTGAGTTCTGGAACGCATTGGAGAACCAGCATGGTAAAGTGTGGGAGCAAATCGACATGGCAGGTTTTGGCCCAGTGTTTCGGATGGGCCGGGTAACAACGGACAACAGCCTCATCACCTGCCTGGTGTAAAGGTGGCGTCCCGAGACGCATACCTTCCACTTCAATTGCGGGAAGGCCACAATAACGCTGCAGGACGTTCAAGTCCTATTTGGCCTCTCGGTCAACAGACAAGCTTGTTGGGGAACGACTGCGGATATGACTCCCCAACAATGGCGAGACTTGTGTATTGACATGCTAGGGTTTTGGCTCAATGTCCAGGTATATATTCTATCCCAAATAATATTTACAATTTCATATATTTTATTCGAATTCAATAAAAAATACAAGTTTTATTGCATTGTGATTATATTTTATATTTATAGAGACACCAATTTCTTGTTTATTAAAATTTCAAGTATTTTAATTTATGCATAAATGTTTTATTTTCTATTTTTAAGAAATATGTAACTATTTAATTATATTTAATTATTATTTTTTATCTCTAATTTGCTCTTGTTTTTTTTTTAAACCAATTCCAGGATAAAGGTGACCCGTCGTACGACCCCAAGACTTGGCCCATTAAAGGCCGATTCTTGAATGTCGGTGTTGGGTTCGCCTATACCGTACGAGCTATACGCAGCGGAATTTAAAATTTTTCAAAAACATGTATTTAACACTTAAATACATAACTCGTATATACATATGGCGAATTAACAGATCGTCATCTTTAAAAATATGTAGTAATACAAATTTTGATTTGTTTAATAGTAAATACAATATTTACCGTTGATCTTGAACTCCTTCAAAATCGAAGATGGATTGAGGGAATCGATTCCCGGATTGGTAACGTCACTTCACTTCTTTCTTGTGCTTGTGGTTACTCGCTTAGGAATCCACGTTGTTGTTAAACGATTTTGTAACAACATAAAATGTACACCCCCCTTTTGTGAATAGGGGGTATAAGGTTTATAGGGATTTGTAGTGATTTTTGATAGGATTTTTTGTGTGTCTTGACTGAAATAGAAGGCAAAGAATTCAAAGCTAGAGAATTGAATCTGCCAATAATATTCTCATGAATGTCATGAATGTTTTATGATGATGGATTTATGATCATCTCCTTTCACTGAGGGCGGTGGCTTTTTGTGCTGATAAGGGAAAAATTAGTCAAAAGTCCTCCATCCTTATCCTATGGCCCCTTTATATATTTGGGTTAATATGGGCCCGTATATCTAATAGGCTTTTATGATAAAACATGACCACGCAGGGCCCAATTAATAAACATGACCATGCAGGGCCCAATAATAAACAATAGCTCTGACTGATATTTGTCTTGTCAGCAATTGACGTGTCTGTATAAGCGGCTTCTTTTGTGATATCAGGGTCGAGCTGGCGGTCTTTTCCTATACATAAAACGGTGCAATTAATTTCAATAAAGCCTGCCGTTTCAACTTTCGAATGTTATTTTCGCAAGTGCGAAGACGTCGGATGCAAATGACGAAACCGATATATCGCGTCAGTACAAAAATTTTGTTAAGGTCTGCTGCAATTT